TCAAAGAGCGTTTTCTGTTTTAGAAATCACTGGAAGGGTTAACCCTGTCTCAAAAGAATAGCCAGTTACTTATGACAATAAAAAGTGAAGCATGCTACCCTTGTTGTTGTGTTGTTGTGCTAATTAGGTCTGTACCCGACTAAGAATCTTGGCATTTGACTGTTCAGTGTGACTATTTATATATGTGTTTATATTTTATATATACATATATATATATATTTACGGAGAGATATAGATATGTGATAAGGGGCGGTAGGAAATTAGTAGGATGGAGAGAGGTGATGGCTTTTTTCATTTTAGTAATAAACCTTGTAAGAACTGTTCTCCTGAATTGTCTTGTCCAATAAAACATCGTGTTTAAGAACCACAGATGCAGAAATGTGACATTTGAGCCCACTGTCCACTTTGTGCCCTGAACAGTGACAATGCTGTTGATTTAGATGATTACAAGTTAAAGACCTAATTCAAAAACAGGGTTGTAGTGTTCTGTGAATGGCCATGGAGCACTGTTATAACCACAAAAGATCTGAACGTGAAGTTAACAGATGCAGAGAGGGAGCCCAGGTTTTCCTCCATCTGAGGTACAGTGACACTACTGCACTACCGTATCCTACGAAAGAAAATTTGTTTCTGTGCCGACACAAGTTCCAGCTGAGTTTCTTGACATATTATCAGAAGAATGCTGTTTCGGTTCTTTACACACTTCTGTTTGTTTCATCATAAACACAGACCTTTTCTTGTTTTTACTGTCTGAGATTATGCTTCAGTACATTACGTTCTGCTGCTCAACTTTCACGTTGCATGACTGAAGAAAATAAAGTGTTGAATCTGGTTTTAGTCTCATGCAGATGGTGTTTCAACAGGACAAAGGTAAAACCTCTAAAGGAGAAAAGATCCTTTCAGGTACACAAATCAATTTCCCTCCCCTTAACCGCTTTAAGTTCACAAACACAAAGCGTGAGATGTGGCATTGTGCACGTACAAATCCATGTTTCTAGGAATCAGATCAGCTGCCTTTTGGTCTGAGCACATCAAACGATGTCCAGTACGAGCTCTGTGCTTTGTTTCAGTGGCTCTGCAGACTGTATATATGTCACGCCACTAAGAGTTCAGACTCAGACTGTTGTCGCTGTCAACATGAAGGTACTTGTGGTGTTTGTGCTGGCGGTGCTGGGCTGCAGTCTGACTGAAGGCCAGCTCAACCTCAAATGTAACCTGAAGGAGCACCTGACCACAGCGATGAATAACTTCAAGGATATACCAAACGAAATGAGCAAGGAAAACCTGGTGGTCCAGCGTAAGTACTTGTTGGTACTTTATTACAGAAACACTGAACCTGGCTATGAGTATTATATATATATTTATGTAAAAACAGGAATGGCATGAGAAAAATGGTTTTGCATGCATCTGTGTACTGCTTTCCAGCTACGGACTGGATTACTACTAATTTTGTGCAAACGTTTAAGATCCACACAGGACAATTTGTGTCACTTTGACTTTTGCCCCGGTGTCACCATTTACTGTATTGCACCCTTTCTGTTAGATTTTGATATTTCTGTTGGACCCTTAGAAATTAGTGGGTCATGAATTCATCCACTGCAAACTGAACATCTGGAGAAGATTTGTCACTTTAGTTTTCTCTTTTCTCTCTTGCCTTCAGTCATCTGTCACGCAGAGGTGTGCTCAGGTTTTAACACCAGTGCGATGAGGATGGTTGTGAACCGCGCGAAGAAAGGCATGCCCTTGGAGAGTCAGGCATGGCTACATCGTAGTAAGTGGTCTACGATCATTGCCTGGATTGTAGGACTCAGCCAGCCTTCACAGGACGAGGTCCACACACTCTATGGTCCTTTACAGCTCAGCAATCGTGTGGCTTGCAGCGACGGCGTGACTCCATCCCCCAACATCTGCAAGCTTCCCTGCAGCAGTGAGTTTCACTTTGTTTACATCTGCAGGTTGTTGTCATTGTCTCAGCTGTAAAGGTGTGTGCAGACTGGACACACAGTAAAAATGAACTTAGTGACGAGTGCTCAAATTTGACCACACACCAAACGTGCACAGGTGGAGCATCTCTGAACGTTACCACCTTAAACACAATTCCTGCTTGGATTCTTTCCAGAACTGTGTGATGACGATCCAAAGGACGATGTCATGTGCCTGATGAAGTTCCTTGAAAAACCTGGGTAAGTTGACTTTTACTGTTGAATCACACGATGCATCGAATGTCTGACAGATGTTTGTAAAATGTATTGAACATTGATTTACGTTGACTTCACTGTGCACTCCGAGGACAGTTTCACTTGATTTGGGTGTTTATAGTTTTAAATGACATTTTATCAGTTTATCAGTTTTTCCATCATTCGTTCCCTTTTATTGTCCATCGAGGTGAGATGGAGAAACATCGTATGCTTGAAAATGAACAATAAACAATAAGTTGGTTCTGGTTTTCAACTAAAAGTTCTTACAATGACATATTCTTTCTCTTTCATGAAGAAACCCAGAAGTTGGGAATATTCAAATATAGCTCATTTCAGATGTTTAGCTACTAAACAAAAGATGCATCATAAACATTTGCTCTCTGGAGGCTTCAGGTTTCTGCATCACCCAAAGTCCAACCTTCCCCTTTGTAATGTGAAAACAGCCTCCCAGTGTCAAACTCACATTCATCATTTCTGCACAGTGAAGCTCAAACATCCAAGTGGAGGAACAAATAAAAAAATCACCTTTGCTCAGTGGAGGGAGAATCGAAACACATCAGGCTAAAAACAGAAGCTCCACAAACTGGTTCAGAGCATGTGCTCCGTCTTCTGCCAGCCAAAACTTCTCATGCTGCCTTTCTGGTGGCACCAGTCAGCCAATTAACTGGGAATGCTTTGCATAGAGCTATTTATTGACAGGAGCGGCTGATTAACAGGAAACAAGAGGAACAAAGGATCTAAGTTGGAACATACCGTCATGGTCAAAAATAGTGCCACCCCCGCATTACTGTCAGATAACCACTACTTCTCCCAGAAAACTGCTGTTCTTGTTTATTTCTTTTTGTTTGCACTGGAACAGCACAAAAAAGCAGAGAAAAAGCCAAATCTGACAAATTCCACACAGAAAAGTGATTGGACAGAGTTACTGACACCCCCAGCTTCATATTTGCTAGTACACGCTTTGGACAAAGCAGCTTAAACCAGTGGCTTCCTGTAACCATCAGTGAGTTCTGCCCTCTCTCTACCGGAGCTTTGGACCACTCGTGTTTTTCCAACTGCTCCAGGTGCTTTGTGTTGTTCCAGTGTAAACTAAAGAAATAAACATGAGAACAACAGAGAATTTGAAATAATTTTCTGAGAGAAGTGGAAGTTATCTGACAGAAATCCAGGTGTATTTCTCACCATGACTGCACATGTTGCAGTGATGTTTCCACAGAGAACGAGCTTGTTTAACCTCATATTGTGATTTCATGTATTTCATGCACAGTTTCCTCAATGTTCTCTCGATGTTGAAACCATCCTGCAGGGAGGAGTGGAGATTGAAATTGTTCATGTGAGTTACAGCTTTATGTGTTAAGTTGCATATTGTACCTTCAATCTGCCTGTTAAATGCATTAAATCCTGAATTACCTGCGTTATGGCCATTAAATCAGTAGGAGGTTTATTGTCAGGTAATGTCGATCTCTTCTGTTTGTTCAGTTTATTGAACATAAAAACCCCTCAGGTAATGTCGATCTCTTCTGTTTGTTTGCAGGTTGGGACTCCTCCAGCACAATGAGTGCAAAGACAAACAGGCCTCCAGCTACTTCGCTGAGTGTTGATAATCCAACTTCACTTACATATCACTGGAAGCATTAACCTTCTCTCCAGTGAATGACCAGTGACTTATGACAATAATAAAGTGAAGCATGTTGCACTTGTTGTGTTTTCATGTTTATGTTACAGGGCTAAAGAATGAGGGGCCGCTCACTCTTAATGCAACACATTTATTTCTGTAAAAGACAGAATGCAGTACAGTCATCAGGAGTACTAATTTGGAGATAAACATGCACTAATTCTGAATAGCCACAAAATGAGACCAAGCCATAGAATATACCTGCTATTCATGAGCCTATAGTCAGAGCTGTTTGACATGTCCTGCTGCAGAAAATCATTTTGCTGTTGTTCTCATGTGTCATTTAGTTCATACTTTACTCAGTAGTTTAGTTCACACATATAGACCAGAGCAACTCATGAATTCTGTTCAGCTGCATTTTCACTGGTTCCTGTAAACGGCCACATATGTTCAGACAGGGGACAAAAACACAAACCAACACAAAGTGTCTTTGTGAGGTGTCGGACCACCAACAGTGTACCGCTGCAAAATACGACTGATAAAGGCTCCGGTAGCTTCAAGAGTCAGTTCCAGGAAGCGAGGGAGTGGCCTTTAATCTGAGTAGAACAAAAGATGTACATTCTTTCTCATCATTCCTGGTCGCTTGGCAAACAATATAAATATCACGTCAGATGTGTTTTCAAAGTCAGAGACAACAGTTGGAGACAAAATGAAGATGCTTGCGGTGTTCCTGCTGGCGGTGCTGGTCTGTGGTCTGGCTCAAGGGAGGACTGTGGATAAGTGTGAAGTGAAGAAACAACTGATGGAAGTGTTTGAAAAGGATGAGCGGCTTGTGCACAGGCGTAAGTTGTGGATATGACTTATTTATTACAGAAACAAAGATGCCTACTATGAATTGTCACGTTATCTCCACCTACAGCTGCGTTTGTTGCAATCAAACAGCCATAAAATACAAAAACAGACACAACATAAAACCCCTATGGTAGCAACAAAGGTAGGTTGTGTTTTTGGAAAAGCTTGTCACTGAACAGCGAGTGGCAGCACAGTGAGGTCGGACTGACTTTCACTCGCTGTCAGTATCTGTACATCTGCAGGGTATTTGTTATTTACCATGGCTCTTGAGCTACTTTCATGTGTTACTGTATTTTGTGCGCTGATGTGTAAATATTGTATGCGGATGGCTGGAGCGCACGTCCTCAATACAGACATGCTGCAAAGACATCAAGTCTGCAAATGTATAGTTGTATTATTTTTCAAAGGCTCAGTAATTTACAGCTGGTTACTGTAGGTCTAAACAAAGGTCAGTCAATAAATAGTGCATCAGTTGTGTCTGTGGGACTGGAAATTACCGGTCAGTCGCTCCACACCAAAACATTTCAGCTATTGACTGGATTACCACAAATGTAGTACAGACATTTAAGCTCTGTAGAGGGTGAATCATTTAACTCTTTACTTCAGGGCCATCATTTATCGAAACCCTCCTGTTAGATTGTCATATTTTCTGTGAATGTTGCACTTGTTGTTGTGTTTTCATGTCTACATCTGAGAACATCTGCCCTGCAGCAGCACTAATTATCTCAGCAGTATGATGGAGTCACCACCACTTTACTGTACACACAACAAGTCCAATGTAAAGAAATGAACAGGAATTACTGGTGTGGTGAGGGGCTGAAACGTCCTCTCACCGACAGTATTTTCTTTAACTGCTCCCATCAGACTTGGAAAAACAAACTGCAACATAATTCCTACGTTGTCCCAGAATAATAATTTGGAGATAAACATGCACTAATTCTGAATAGCCACAAAATGAGACCAAGCCATCGC